CTGGAGATTCGCTCACCCTCTCTCTCTCTCTCTCTCTCTCTCTCTACCGTTGCACATCATCGCAATTAAGGATGAAGGATCCGAACACGAACATTATTGGACCTTCCTTGTGGATCTACCTTCGAATTTCTTCAATTGCGATCTCGTTCAATTCCGAGTTTGACTTGCGTTTACGATGATTATTGAATTGGCCAATGGCTTTAAACCTCTATTAATTGCTTCCCTGTAAATCTTTAAGCGAACACGCTTTTCCAAACGCCCTGCATTTGTATCTACGCAACCAGGCAGTTGGGTCGTTATTATCGAAATACGGATAGATTGACGTTATAGGAAGAAGGGTCCTCACGGACAATAAAATTTCGTAACTCGAACGTACGAATCCCTGCCTAATGCTTTGCTGCCTAATCGGCGATTAAGTTTACGATCGAAGCATGCCAAATAAATAAAAGTAACGGGGCATCAACAGCCCCGTTGTCTGAATAATCGTTGGCCCTAAAGGTTGTACCGTCAGGATGAGCGTAACCGTTCACATTAACCCTAGTCCGATGAACCGACTACCAATGAGCGTCTTTCTTTGTCGACGCTTAAGGCACCAGCGATCTCGTTTAGCGCTGCTGTGATTGGCCAAGGCCACGTCGGTGTGCATGCGCGCACGCGTGTGGCCCGACCTTAAAGACAGCCCTCGGCTAAGGGAACGGGAACAGGGATAACGCTATGTAGGCGAACCAAGGCAAATGCACCGTAAGAACGGAGGCTGTGACGGCGGAATTGTTGTAGCGGGTGATGGGAGGGGGGTAGTAGTGAGAGAGGATGCGGTCGTTTCCGGCGCTTCTCAATCGACGACTATGACGAGTGCGGAGGTAGGTGGTATAGGTTCGTGATGGGAAAATGCAAAATAATTTTTTATCACGGATAGGTGATTGAGTATGTCCGAGATTGTGGGCGCGATTATGTTATTTGACAAAGTAGTCTGGTAATACGATATTACAGTGGTAGGTGATTCCGCGACTAGTTTTCCTCAACGTCAATGGCCACAATTTATATCGTGACACTTATATGCCGGGCCTTTACACCTTTTTACATTCATGCACATTTTTGCAAAATGTATCGTGCCTACATTCAATGTTTTTAATATAATTGCACTTTATTAATTACAGTCGTTAAGTTTTGCAAGTTCTTTGCATAGTTCTTTTCTCATTTATGATTATTTCGTGAAATGCTTTTTAACGGATTTGTGGCATTATATTAAAGTATGAATTATTAAAAGTATTCTCATATGATTATCATATATTGGTGAAGTTATTTAATTTTATCGAATGCACAAATAAGTTACTCGATAAATAGCTTTCATAAATGAAATGATAAATGATATTTTGCTACATTATCAATCATTATATTTTAATTGTTATTTTTATCATAAATTTTCATCCTAACACTATTAGACATATTTGTTTTTATTGCTATCGTAAGATTCTATAAAAGTCATATATATATCGCACACAGGCAGTGGCATTCAGCAGCATGTGCCCATACATGTTTATATGCGCATGTGCACTCATAGATACAAAATTTTGGAAAATTTAAAAATAAAACGCTTTCAAAATTAGTTACCGTCTAGACGTATGGTCAAGGTCAATACGCTTATAGGGTAAGGTTAGATAATACTAGCATTCGGATGAAATTATACGAATAATACGTGTTTTCTTTTTTGTTTTAAATTCATTCCAGTTATTTAGAGAAGTTTGCATTTTTCCGTGTTTATTTTTAATTGTTCAAGATGGCCAAGATCTTTTAGGAGAAAAAAAACATTAATTTCATAATTATGCATTAAATATTACATCATATTATTTTTAATTTTATAGACATTAAATTAATCAATATTTATTAAATACGTCTTAAAATTTTTTTAATTTATAATTGGGCATGTGACTATTCATTTAATTATTCTTTTCCTTTTTCGGGGTGACTTAAATTTTAACTTATTGGGTTAAAAAAAGAATTTAAATAATTATTATTCTATAAATCAGACTTACCAGTGAAAATTGATTTTCATAAAATATACAAATAAATATTCTTGTACAATGTCTGTTGTACTTTTAGTCATTGTAATTTAAGTATTAAATAATTTATATTTTAATTCAATGTTGATATCCACTATGTAGTAATCAATAGTTTTAAACGATGATTGACATTACAATTATATTTAATATGAATAACAACAAATTTGTATGATGTCAAATTAAGATTTATAAATTTCTGTGCATTCGCATGTTAAGGCACATTACGTAAATTAAATTAATCCACAAAATTGCATACATTCATAATATATAATTTATTGATAATTCAATTACTGAAAACTGCTTCTATGTTTGTTGATAATAAATAATAAACTTATATATATAATACCTTAAATAGAAAGATTGAATTTAACATTAAATGTTAAATTTCATGTTTATGATCGGGTAAGTAAACCTAGCAATAAATGATTTATCTTTAATTTTAGGTAGCGATATAAATTGAAATCATTATTAAGCCAATAATTTATTTTATAATAGTTGATAATTTGTATTTTTATCTATATTATAGCTTATTTGCTAATTATACATTATGGATTTTCGATACTTAGGGAATTATTTATTAAATAAAATATTTTTACATAGTATACTTTATTAATAGTATATGATTATATAATATATGAAATATTATTTTTATATATTTTGTTAAACTCTATTCTTATAAAAACAAAATCTTAACTTGAATGAATTATAAGACGTGGAGCGTAAAAGAAATATAGATTTTTATAAGAAAAATCTTTTATAAGAAAAATTCTTATAAAAGTAAATACCATTTATAATTTATTATTATGAATTAACAATTAATTATATTTTGCTAGAATGTACTACATTTAAGATTATAATAATTTTTAACTGCATTGATTTGCTTTTTTAATATGGTTTTAGTAACTTAATCTTATAAATATTATTAAAAAGTATATTGTTATGATATTGTAATTTTTAATAATTCCTAACTCCAAACGTCCCCTTATTATTTAGAAGACTTTTATATCTTACAATATTTATGTTATTCAGTTAAAATTCTTTCATTGTGTTACTTATTTTATAAATAATTTATTATTAATTTTTAAAGATCGCATATATATATATATATATATATATATATATATATATATGTGTATATTTTCATATATTTAGTAAAAAAATTGAATAAAATATATTTAAAAGATATAAAAATTTTTATATAATTAATTATAAAATATATTATCTATAGAATTATAATTAATTGCCATGCCTCATTTTTATAGGCCTTGGTAATTCATTACTTGTATTTGTAATCGAGGTTTCATATTCTATTAGTATTTTTGCAGGAACTTTTGGCTTTGAATATATCGTCGTTGTATCATTTATAATTCTAAAATGATCATAAACAATAATTTTATTATAATTGAAGTTATAATTGTAAATAGTAAGTTTTATGTAATAATTTTCAAATGCTGATGTAATACTCACTTGCTTAAATTTTTTCCGAATATTTTTTGTACACTCGGTTGTAATAAAATTTCAATTCCATCAGTCATAATTGCAGCAGTTGTTGATTTAAGCTCATTATGATTTGTACGTTCATTAGTATCTATATTTTTTGTGTTTTGGTCTTTATTTTTAAAAACAGATTCAATATGTTTTGAGAAATTTTGTACCAATTGTACATGTTCAACCGGTATTACTGATTTCGATACATTTTTGCATTCGTCAAATTCACGATTTTGTAATGTAATTAGTGGTTTCGGTAATTCTTTATGAACATTACTTATTTGTTCTTGTGGCTGTTTCTCAATTAATACCGATTTTATAACAGATTCTGTAGTGTGCGATTGGAGATAATTAAGCATTTGATGATAAATTTCTTTCTTTTCTAGGTTGTAATTTAAATCTAGATTATTACTATTCAATAAATGTGTATAAAAATTATGATTTGTATTTTGTAATGGTTTATTATTTGAAGAATTTGATAAGCTATTGCTAAGAGAATATAACTGTGTAGGTGAATTGGAATTTCTCCATGAATTGTATCGGATTGGTCCTTTAGATGTATGCTTAATTTCATGCGAATTACTAGATTCTATAAATGTAGTTAAGCAATTAGTTAATTTAGAATTTTGTTTTCGACAAGGTCAATATCTAACGCATATATTTTCCTTACCTTTATTTAAAGGGCTTTTTTCGGTGTTCCGTCTATTTGAATAATTTTGGGGTGATTCTGCTATTTTTTTTGTTGGGAAATTTTGATAGTTTGGATTGAATACCACACGATCAGACTTACTTGATTCCCAGTTTATATATGGATTATTAGCATTAATTTGTGATGAATAGAAGTTTTCATTAGATCTGTAAAAATACGTCTTCTAATCAAAAAGTTGTTAATCTAATTTTATTATATTATTAGTATTATTATTTATTATATTATTATTATTATAATTACATTATTTTTTAATCACAAAATTACTTTTTCGATAAAATTTAATACATTGATAATTCAATTAAAAACAAAAAAGATGAATTACATGAGTATCGTTACAAATGACTATAATATTTTAATGACTTTAAGGCTATAATTCTTCGTATATAAGTTGCAAATACACATAATCTAAAAGTTTATTTATTAATGTAATTTAAATTGTACATAATAATAATTATAATAATAATAATAATACATTCAGGAATTATTTTAATTAAAGTAAAATTTAAATAGCAAACTCAAATAAAATAAACAAAACGATTAAAGTTTGTTTAATATAAAATTATTTTGTTAAAATTTTTGGATGATTTGGATTTTTTAATAATAACGTTATGATAAATAAAAGTAATAATTTCATTTTTCGAAATAATTGTTTTTTACACATATTACTACTAGATATTTTCTTTAGTTACATAAACTCACTTATCATTAAGATGATTATACGATCCTTGTAATTTAGAGGGCAGATTAGACTCTATTCCTTGATTATATGCAATAGATGTGAGCTTTATATTTGGACGGTATGATAAATTAGGTTTTTTTGTTGAAATGTAGGATTGTTGCTGATGTTCATAAAAATTATTTTGTCCTAATTGAGGTTTTGATGATGGTCGATCTCTTGGTATAGTTTTTTTTGTAACAAAATAAAATCCTTCTTGACTTTCATGAAAACTATCCTGTTGTCGTTGTGGTGAAACCGTGTTTATTAAATTTGGAAGATTGTATGAAAAAAATTCATTGTTTGGATAATAGTTATTTAATGGCTTTGCATTTAAACCATAATTTGGCGGATTAGGATTGTTGTGGTCTTGAAAATTATGAGGATAATATAGATGCGACGGTTTTAATGAATTATATGGTCGTTGAGAAAATGTAGATTTTTGCGTAGTTGGTATTAATTCAATAAAATTTTCGCTTACAGTCGTTGGATTTTGTTTGTTTGATTGTATATTTGATTGATTTGGCCCGATGTCCGAATTTAATGGACGATCGATATTTATATTTGATCCGTACATCGAATCGCGAATAATAATTGGCGAATGTACCGCGTGATTATTAACAATAATCGTAATATTCTCGCCTGGCCCAATTGGGCGTTTTACAACGATGCGATTTTGTTGATTAATCGTTGATCTAACTGGATTTTGCCTTTGTGGAACTCTTTGATTAAATTTTTTTATCGATACAACTCGCGATTCCGTATCCCGATCATCTGCGTTTGATTCAATTTTTTCCTCATCATCATCATAAGTACTTTCATTTGTAACCGACGATTCACGCTGCTGCAAAGGATTTTCTATCCACGGGTCTAAATTAATTTGATCCAATATGGGATCATCGCAGTTCAATCTCTTATTTCTGATATTATCAGCGGCTAACATAACAAATGGTTGTATATTATCAATGTTGTCCAATGTACGGCACAATACTTGAGCCAAAGTAACTTTTCTTATTTGTTGAAGCTGTTTAGGCGTGAAACTGCTCTCTATAAAAGGATTTTCATACCAGAATCTATCACCCTTACGCAAGCTCCTAAATTGCTGAGCAATGATGCAAGCAAATGTAGCTCCGATTAATCCACCAACAACTGGTCTCTCGGCGAGACCAGCGGAGAATAAATCAATATCTTCCACTGCAGTATAAAGATCTTTAAATTTTCTCGCTGTTTCTGGTACCATTATTCGCTCAAGCTCTTTCCAATTTCTAATGGGACTTAGCATGCAAGGAATTCTCCACTCTACGAATGGTGGGATGCCGTGATCGCGGCCTCGTTGAATATTTAACGATGCCAGATCCATGCCGAATGGAAAGCCAGGTGTTTGGAACAAATGATTTGTTAGTTCATCCGATATGAACTCGTCTCGTTTCTGTGATGGCTGATTTATTAGGCCGAGTAAAATGCGATCGACTGAGCCGGCTGTTTCTAGATTTACGGGATTACTGAACTCTTCGTGAATTGTTACATCTACGAATATAATGTTATGTAAGCTTCTTAATGTTACTGCTTGTGTATAGTGGCCTTGAAAATTATTGACTGACAACTTACTGTTCAAAATTGGCCTGTGATGTCTATCGAATCGTATAAAGCTTCGTTGCACTAACGAATGCCCGAAACGGTATGCGGCGCTAGAAAAAGCGTTGGCAATGTTTGGATTAACCAACTGATCGTATCCCCTGTAATAGCCTTTTCGTAGTGGTTCGATATCGAATATTTTCATCACTTCATCCCCTAAAAGATGGTTTGTATATTAAACGTAAAAGCTAGTTCGTTAAAAAAAAACGATATAAAAAACAACAAGCAGCGACGGGCAAACAAAAAATGTTACCTAAGACAATTGGCAAAAATTCACGATAAGTTATGTGTTGAACGAGAGCCCCGACAATCTTACGAGTCTCTTGAAAAATCTTCTCGTCACTCCAGTGCTGATTGAGAGCCGATAATAAAGTTGCAAGACGATTGTGCATCCGTAAAAAGATGACGTGTAGAGAAATGAGTGCCGGCTGTTCACTCAAGCGTCCGTCGCCAGCTCTGAAGCAGCTCGTTGACAAGGAACCTCGTCGACATAGATCGGAATCGTCGCGAGGCAGAACTGGCCTTCGAGATTGTATTTTACCATATTGCATAAGACCTGGATATATTACAATAAATTATATAGTATTGATTTTCACAAGTATCCGAACATTAGCTTACAAATCCAGCTGAAATAATATGATTCAAAGGATATAATATATTGTTTAATCTGTCCTATATTTTTATATACGTTTCTAAATCCGATTGTATAAAATAAACTCGTGTTTATATTTATCTAATTGATATTTCTGTATTAAATTGTATTACATGCATTATGTTATTAAAATTATGCCCTTTTCAAAAGCGTACTTTTATTTTATTTTTTGGGAATGTTCATATTATTTAAATATGACTTATAATTCTTTTTCGATTTCTAATTTTTTATAATTAACACTTCAATTTTAAATATTGTATAAAAAAAAAAAACAAAAAAAAATCGCATTTTTCTAAGTATTTGGATATGTAATAATACGAATTAGAATATAATTTCTTCCTAATACTATGTTTAAAATTTATTAAATTTTTTGCTGTATAGCGTTTGAGAAATTAAAAATTTTTTTCTACCCATAAAAAAACACTATACGTAGTTTAAAAACTCTTTAAATTTTTAGGATAATTTAATTTTTTAAGGCAATAGATAACAAATAGTAATAATATTATAGTAAGAATTTATTACTAACAAACATATTCAATAATAAAAGAATGTCATGCTAATAAGCAATCGTACGATCGATACGTGAGCTACGAATAAAATTAAAATTTTATATATTTTTTTTATACATTTTACATATTTTTCTTAAATAATATTAAATTTCCAAACGAAGACTGTAATTACCATTTCGGAAAATCCGGAGGCTGTCGCAACGACGAGCACTACTGCTATACACAGTGGAGGCATCGATGAAACTCGTCACTTGCGAGAGTTGTTCTCTTGGTCCAAAATCACAGTTCTCCCTTGGGGCTGGACCACTTCTAACAAACTCTAGACAACGGACGGACAATTTACTTAAATGTCTGTCATGGGGATGAACGGCAATGGGTAGACAATCTGGATGCTTAATCAACGAAAGATTAATGGTTCATAAATGTGCCTTTGTCATTTAAAGTTGCCATTTTAAATATCAAGACTTTATTTCATACCATAAATTCCGAAGGCTGAAAACCTAAGCCGCCATTTAGGCAACATTGAGGTACCGAATCATTGAATGCAGTACTTTGTCCCGTCGCTAAAAGTAGAATTCATGCATCATTTAGATCATGTCAATTTTATTGGAGAAAATTTCTACCCGGTTGGCTGTCTCAGATGCACTTGCACACACGCAATTCGCAATGTTATAATAAAATAAGAAGGGGCATTATCTCGGGTATTTACCAGTTATGTCGTGATCGATAAATTGTCCCCATTGCATCAACATATGCGTGACGGAGATGAGAGGAGCGTCACGCTCCTCGTGTATATGGTCGCTCACTTGTCGAGCACTTGGCAATGGATTTCCGGTCACTGACCTGCGTATACTCTCGATGCCATCATCGTACGCCGACGGCAAGAATCTGCAATAAATTACCGTATTGGCGTCTTTTTATTTATCATTATAACGAGATTTTGTATAATTTATAAAAGCTGTGTTAAGTAAAATTATTATATTATAATATCCGTTATTCTAAAGGATTTTTTATGAATGTAAGATATTCAAGCTTTATTGATAGTATAAGTAAATCCATGTTATTCTGTAAAGTCGATATTCGTATAATTACAATTTTTTTTGAATCTATAAACTTTGATACGAAATTGTAATATTAAAGATATAGAGAGAAAGAGAGAGAGAGAGAGAGAGAGAGAGCAAGGAGAGGAATTTTGATAATTGTGAGAATCATTTTCTGAACTACATAGATTCTTCAATTATGTAGTGCGTATGAACTTATACTTACATCGAATATGCGGCGAATTATATATAAAATCAATCATACAACTTATGTAGTAGCTTGAGCAATTTCTAAAGTTACGAAGGCAATGTAAAATCATATTTACACAGTCTGATACAGAAGGGAATGTTTATAAGAATGAAATTGACAACGAGTAAATTTTAGATGAAATTGCTCACAACTGTAGTTGACAGACCTTTGCATTGTCGACATGGCAGATCCCCACCAAAGCTCTTTGAGGTTATTACAGCTTCCATCCGACGTCCTGTATTTCAAGCTCGCCGGTGGACATTGCGGAATTCCCTTTTTTGGGCACTGTTGACCAAGAATACTTTGTCCGTTTGTTTGTGAGATTGATGATTGTCTTGAAATATCAGGGAATCTGCAAAAGGCATATTAATATAGTACAATTCATGCCAGTACATTCTTTGTTATCATTATTAATTGTTAGCAATGCATAGCATGGGATTTCTTTTAGAAAATTTCAATATTTTAATCCCTAATTTAATTAAACTGAAAGTAAATTGATGGACTAAGCAACTGAAAATTCACATAGGCATTATTTTATTAACATTAATTCCAATTTTTTGATTGTTAGGCTCTTCAACATTTCCGAAAAACCAATTTAAAAGTATTTAGAAATCTTGTATGTACATAAAGAAAGAAAGAGAGAGAGAGAGAGAGAGAGAGAGAGAGAGAGAGAGAGAGAGAGAGAGAAACAGACAGACACATAGAGGCAGAAGGGGATGAATTAGAAGAGAGCGAGAACAAAAATTATTAATTTTATGCTCACTTGCTACGAATTTTTTTGGCCGCTTCAAGAGCTGCGAAACCATATTTTGCTAAGTGCTTGGCTTCTGCTGACTGATCATTAAATGCAGCAACATAACGTGCAGGATTGGTCGGGCTCAAAAATAAACCTATGCGTAATTTTATATTACATCAGCTTAATATCTTTTAATTTTGACTATGTAATAATATTAAATAAAATATACAAAATAAATGGAAATTATACCATTGATAGGAACCTTACACATTGTGCCATGAATACTTTAAGGAAATTTTAATGTAATTTTATCGAAATACTATCGAATAAATTAATTTTCATTCGACAAATTTACTGCTTTATAATCAATAATATTCCAAGCATTTTATTTCTGATTAAGTTCAATAAAGCATAAAATATTAATTTTTTTTTAGCATTTTCATGCACCTAATTGTAATAAATAAATTGTTTGACATTGTTAATTATAATACACCCTGAAAATTTGCTGAGAATTTATATGAAGTAATTATAATTATTCATGCAGAATTTTAAATGAAGTTATATCGTTAATATGAAATATAGTTAAAATGATTTGCTACAGCTCGAAATATAAGACAGTATTTTAAAAATAAAAATTTATTAACGTTCATATTTTATATTTTATGTTTAAATTGGTATAATTTTCTAGAAAAAATCGATGACTTTAATATTATTTTAAATATATTAGAAATTCAGGTAGTTTTATTACAAGATCTGCATAATTTTCTAATTCAGATAAATGTTCACGGTAAGATTTAAATGAAGTATATTTTTCCAAAGGAATTTACATTTCCTTAAATATTAAAGAATTGTGTAAATTGATTTTTAACTGGAATAAATGGAAATTTCCTGCAAGTATTCATTTTATTTCATTTAGCTATATAAAAAAAATGAAAATAAAAACTTCAAATATAAAATTTAATATAAGGTTAACAGTTTATAGAATTAATACTGAAGTATGATATTGTTAATTTTATTACATAATGTATTACATATTTCAGTTACTTAAGTTTATTGATCAAAGCTTTAACAGATTTAACTTGAAAAAAATACTCGATATCTATGTGGTTTTTATTTTTTTTTTCATTTTCTTTTCTATAAAATGTCAATTATTATTTTAATCAAATTGACTGAACAAAATGTCATAAGTCCACATCGTGTGTAGTAAAATGTACATAATTTGTATGTATAAAAGTCTGCTAAATGTTACACGAGTTTACGCGGCATTTTGAATTGACATTTCTGATGTTGGTTAGATGATATGTGTAACAGTGGCTGCCAATATTGATGTGCTCGCACTAAGCCGTCAAACGAAAATAAACCGAACGAGAACAGATTTTCATCAATAAATCAATTTGGATGTAGCTGAAATCGATTGAAAAATTTCAAGATTAATGTCACACCGATTGATCGAAAATGTCAACGCGAAGGAGTACATCAGCACTATAAGGTACCATAATACAGCTAAACTGTTACCGACCCATAGAGTAAAGTTTGGGCTCCTTGACGTGATAGAGGTCGTTCATCGCCTTGAGGCCAAAATTTGCGGCCTCGACAAAGTCCTTCTCCTTCGGCTCGATCCTCGTCCCCTGGCTTGACCTATTCCTCCACTCGGCCAGATTACGGGGCCCCGCGAACCTTCGTGAGGAGCTCGACAGCTCGAGGGGCTCCGGTCGCTCGTCGTCGGCCCCGTAGCTTGTCGCAAGCGCGAGTACGGCGAGTCTGAAAGCCAGGAGCATCGATCAGCAGAGAGGGTCGCGTCCCGTTTAAAAGCAAAAAGTGCGCGAAACTTACAATGTCGTTGAGCGCATGTTCGCGTTCGCCGAAAAGCCTCGCTGCTTTAACGACGACTAAACTCGGAACTCAGCTCGCAGTTCTATCCGAGACCGCGAGCCGTTTCTCTCTCTCTCTCTCTCTCTCTCTCTCTTTCTTTCTCTCTCTCTCTCTCTCTCTCTCTCTCTCTCGATGTTCTTTTTGTTTTTCCCTCCTTTCACGTTTATTAAAGAGATTGGGCTCGCAGAAGCCCAAATGCACGGGAGCGTCGATCGCCCCCAGCTCCGGCAGAAGCGACTCCGTGTTTTTCCCCCTCGGCGCGTCTTTACTGTTACCTGCACTCGAGCGTAAGTAGGGAAGCTTCTAAGCGTCGATTGGAGGAGAGACGCGAATAACAGCCGTAAGCGAGCGTAGGAGCCGATCGTGTGATAGCGCGCGTGCACACGCACAGACCTGTGGTCGACGACCCGAAATTATCGCTGGAATGGGGGTCGAGCCGCGCCCCGTTCCTGGCCCCCGTTAATTTCCGCGCCCATGCGAGCCTCGGAGCCTTAATTGAGCAAGCGAAATCGACGGACCAGCGACGAAGACAAGGTAATTATTTGCATATCCTAGCAAGTTAATGGTGAAGAGGCGATCGAGATGCGATTGTGAGAGGACAGAAGGAAAATGATGATGATGAGAGAGATTAAGGGAACGGGGTGATCAAATGAACCGATGCTAGCACGTGCCATACGCCACTCATCGTAGGATAAGGGAAGGGGAGGTGGCATAAAGCTGCCGTAAGAAATTTACGGTCAGAATTCCTCGGTCAGCTGCTCAGTCATCACCACCCACTAATTAAGGGAGTGCGAAAGTCGCGTACTTTTTCTTGCGTCTCGCTATAGTTGCCTCGCACTTATTCGACATCTAGGACATTCGAGATATTACGCCCGCATCGAGTCCCGCTTTTGCTACCAAAGTTAGATGAAGTTTAATGCCAAACTTTTTATATTATTTGCGAACTTCCACTGCATTGCGCACAAGTAAGAATTACCAAGTTTACTAGATAAATACGGACGTTAGAATTTCATATTTTCGAAGTAACTCAAACTCCCTTCCAGGCCAGTTATTAGGAATATGCTATAAGAAAGGAAGAAACTTCTCGAGCGTGCGGGTCTGTAATGTAAATATACGGGACTCACGCTGTTTTGCATTGAAAATGGGGGGGGG